TCTGGCCGCCGACTGGCTGACATATTTGGGTTGAATGTTAACAGAAAAAATAACAGAGGAAAACAGAAAACAAAAGCCAGGCAAACAAATGAGAAAACCAACTCGAAGCTCGAAGCTCGAAGCTTATGAATGCCTGACCACAGCAAAATCGGCAAATGTCGCAATTAACATATTTCTTATGTGTGCAAGTACAAAATGCACATACGTTTGTATTTGTATTTAAGGGGGCCAAAAACGCCATAAAATAGGGGAATCGGAGGAGAACAAGGGGATTCTGGGGGTAATTTGGCACGGGCAACTATTAGTTGAAATCTCAGGCTATTCTTTGTGTAAAACCACCTCCCCCCTCCGCAAATCCCCCGCACATACGCCCCTGGGTATTCGTATTCGTATTCGTATTCACCTGACATTGTCTGAGACTCGACCTGAAGTGTGAGTAAGGCATGAATCGTGGCCCGAACAAGAAACAAAAGCGTTTGTTCAAGTGATTAGCCCAACCCTGAACAGATTTCGGACCAACCCCTCGAAACTCGAGAAATGTATGAGAAAGATTTGCGGCATTTAGGAGTAATCAGTGTAAAAAGGTGAGGAGAGCATGTATTACATAAGAATGAGACTATGGGAAAACTAGACTATCTAGATAATTATAGATTATGGTGGGGATTACGCTTTACTCGAGGAAAATATCTAAAACATAGCCGAAGATCCTAACAACAATCAGTCTAACTAATATTATATCTCTCAAAAAGTCATAAATCACCATATGCACTTCATAATATATGTTATTTCTGTAGCCTCCGACTATCTTCCGCCTCAAAACAAAGATTTGTTTTATGTGACATTTCAATTAGCGGAGTGTCAAGACCTGACATTAGCATAAAAACAGTTTAGCTATTGTTGAATCGCAGCATTGAAAGGCATACATATGTTCAAAGGGTTGTACATGGAGGAGTACACAGTAGACATAGATATATGGATTGGAGTAGCCGGCACACCTGTCAGTCGCCAATCGTCAATCCCCGGTACAGTCACCTCAATGTAATCACGACTAGAGTCACCGGCACACTCCACGCATTCCCATAATTCCGGAGTAATTGTATCGAAGTGGACCGGAGTGGGCGAGGTAACTTCATTACTGACACATTCAAGCGGCGGCTAATGACACACTTGGCTCGCTCACTTGGTTCACTGCCTGATGATTGGCTTGATTGAATGATTGGCCAATTGATTGACGCCAAAGTCAAAAGCCCGCGACTCGCGTTCCATTTGGGTCAGCCCCAAGCTTCAAGATCCATTAGAACTGTCCGGCAGTTGACATAACCACTTGCGCAACTTGGAGCCACCAAGGCGACTCCGCAAGTGGTTGCCATTCTGCTGATGCAACCAGTTACCAGAGAACTTGGCTAATGAACCCGCTCATTACGGCAGCCATTTAGTGTATTAGTTTCTTGGGATGGCTAAACACAATATCTAATTTAAAGCTAACTAGGTAGGAAATATTCAAAGTTTATACTATTAGGGTTAGTAACATTGCCATACGAAATAATGATTATATATTTCATTTAAATTATAGTGAAGCAACAAAATTAAATCTTCTTATCCTAGAAAAATAAGGAAGAGGAAGACTTTTAAGACAATATTTCGAGTAAGAAATTTGGATACATATTTACTTAAGTTGAACTAAGTTAGCCATTAACAAATCCTAGGAATGGGAGGAAAATTATTTTATTTAATATATCAATTCCATATGAAAAGCAGACCGAAACATCTGGCAAACCTTAAAATTTCTCCACGGGTTTTCTCCGAGTTCCACTTATGCTTTGGTTGCCATACCGCATTTGTTTGTTCCGCCATTTGTTTGTCTAATTACGCAACTGGCGGCGGATGCAATACCGCTGCATTTGTGGTTTGACCAAAAGCGATTCCCCCGATTCCGTTTACCCCGCCCCCGAATTCCGAGCCCAAAACCGCAGCGCTGCAAATATGGCAAGCCCATTTCCGCGTGTCAACAAACTTCTTCATCAGCTTTGCACATCAGTGAAATTTTAAAGAGCAGGGTGGCGCAATAAAGGGGAACCACCGGAACCTGGAAAGTGTCCGCTCGAGTAACTGCACCCACAGTGGGTGCACCGAAAGAAAAGATGGTGTAGGCACTTGAACGATTTTTGTATGTCAGTGCAAACTATATTCCAACCTATCATATAAATCAATCTATTAGATACTTTTTTAGATATCAAACAAGCGGAACATAAGAATATTTTATATTTTATATTGATTGGTATTTTATAACAATACAATCTATCTTATTAGTTAATCTATTGGTTATTTTTATAGATACCAACAAAAGGGAATATTGTTAAAATTTCTTTAACTAGTTATAAACTCTAGACTATCTTGTTGATCATTGGTGTCATTCTATTATATTTTATTATTCCATACATCGCCTGCATTGATGCCAATGGGCAGATCTAATTTTTTCGCCGTGTGACTGAGTGAAGTAGACATGGCATAGATCACGGCTTACTCCGGCTTCCAAACTGCAGTTGGTTGGGTTCCAACTTTTACTTTGGCTCATCCTCCGCCTCCAAATGGCCCATCCCCGATCCCCGATCCCCATGCCAAGCCAAGTCCCCCCTCCTAAGTAGTGAAAAGCCGAGAAGCACGTAGACATAATTTATTGCCAAATGCATGGAAGACTCGCAGTGGACACGCCTGGCTGGCCACGTTCGTGTGTCGTGTCCATGGATCCACAGATACCTATACTTGGATACTTGGATAGTTGGATACTTGGATGGCTATCTAGCCGCCGTTCCCCCTCTTGGAACTTTTTCGATTTCTTCGAGGGCCCGGGCGTAAATTGTTTGAAACTCGTTGAAAATGTGCAATAATTAAAGCGTATTAAACAGAAAGAAAGAAAAGAGTGCAAGGCAAGCGTAAAGTTGTTACTCGATGCGTCTGCGTCGGCAGCCTAACGAGTCTTAATTAAAGTGAAAATGCCAAAAGATCGACATGGATACGGCAGTGGATATATCCACGCTATAGATATATCCACTCCATCCATTGCGAAGTGCAGTGTCTGGTTACCCAACTCCGGAGGGTGGCGAAACCCCTCGTCTGGGAGAGAGTGTCCATTGCTGGGCAGATGTAACAGGCACTTTGCCCATGGGGCAATGGGGCTAAGATGCCAGTGACAAGCCTACTAGATACACCTTTAACTCGAGTGATTATATAATGTGCTGAAGATAGCATCCTTTGGCCAACACATTCAGCTGAAGTATACTTCTCTAACCCTTTAAAGTATCAGCTCTACAAAACACTAATAGATTTCCCTTTAAAATCAAACCAAACTTTCAAATCAAACATACTTCAGATTGGTTTGTGGATAATAACAGTCAAATCTTTCTATCTACAATTATAATTAGGAATACATTACGTCTGAGATACTGTCCGTTCAACCTAATTCACATGTGTTAATTATAATTATAATTAAATTTAATTTTTCTTTTCAATATGTTCCCATTCCATCAGCAGATCAAACAAAAAATACTGTTGGTCCAAAAGTGTCAATTGCTTTTGGGTGGCAACAAATTAAGAGGTGAACTAAGGGATTTATTAAATATTGTAAATAAATATGGAGTAGTTGCAGTTAAAGAAGAACGTTTTAGCTTGTCCCTTGTGGTTAATAGTTAAAAATGACCATATATTCCCGCATTCCCTGTTTGCTCACCTGCATTCTCCCCCTTTTCCATTGCAGCGATGTCATAATGGAGCCAATGACCATGCTGGTGTTGGCCTTCCAGCTGCTGGCGCTCTTCTCGATCGCCGGTGCGCTGCTCATCTACCTGATCTGCAAGGTGCGCGAGGACAGCGCCTCCGCCAGTGCGGACTCGCAGCCCAGTCGGGTGGTGCTGGTCACCAGCGCGGACACCGCCTTGGGCCTCCAGCTGTGCACCCACTTGGCCAACAAGGGATGCCGCGTGTTCGCCGGCATGAAGGAGGCCCACGATTCGCTGCCCGCCAAGCTCCTCTGCGGCTGGATGAAGATCCGGGAGTACAGTGAGGAGCCCATTGCCGGCACCATTATTCCGATGCGGCTGGATGTCACGCGGGAGGATGTGCTGCGCGAGGCAACCGTTTCCATGGGCGCCCACCTGAATGCCGACGAGCGCGGTATCGCGGCCGTAATCAACACCAGTGGCAGTGTCTTCCGTGGCAAGGTGGAGTCCCAGGATGTGCAGCAGTGGGAGCACATGCTCAAGACCAACATCCTGGGCACGCTGCGTGTGGCCAAGGCCTTTGTGGGCTTCCTGCGTCCCACGCGCGGAAGGCTTCTCTACTTGGGCGGCGGCGGAGGTGGCGGAAGTGTGGCTTCCCGAACCGGTGGCGACGGACTGGTGGCCTTCAACGCCTCTCGCGTGGCCGTGGACAAGTGCGCCGAGGAGCTGCGCAAGGAGCTGCAGCCCTATGGCGTCAGCGTGGTGGCCTTGGACACCTGCGGCATGACGGCGGAGTCATTGTACAAGGCGCCGGTGGCACAGAGTGAGTTTCTTCACCAGACTGGCGGGTTACATTGTGCTTCATATCATATTTCTTTGTATTTCCATATCATTCCAGCCATGTCCGCCACCGCTGGAGCTCCCACGCAGTATACGGCGGATGTGCTCAGTCCGAGCGCGCTCCAGGTGATCGAGCGGGCGCTGTGGGACTTCGCCCCGCAGCAGCGCTATCCGCTCCTGAGCCACAACAAGTACCAATTCACGTTGCCATGCCGCTCCTCGCTGCGTCTCCAAAGGCCGGTAGCTCCATCCGCCGGCGAGTCCGCCACTCAGTCGGTTTGAGATCCGCCTCCTTCCGCTTCCTGTATATATGCTCCCGATCCTGATCCCGTTTCTAGGCCTTAGCCCACTCCCGCTCCTGCTCCTGCTCCTGCTCCTGCTCCTGCTCCTGTCTCCGCTCCTGCTTCCTGTTCTTTGTTTTAACCTATCTGCAAATTATTTTTGTTTGATGATATTTCTTCCTTTAGGAAGGCCTTTATAATATTTACTTTATACTCGTTTTTGTACACACTGCTAAAGGTGTAAATTGATGGACATCATACGTAATGTTACGATATATGAAAAAATAAATCATTGTGCTAATCTACGAAGGCGTATTGTCTTGTCTTTCTAACATTCGATGGGTTTTGTAGGTCCAGTTCCTATTCGTACTTGGAGATGAAGTCGTAGCGCAGCACGGAGGCCGGGAAAACTTCGCCAGCTTTGGCTTCATACCGATCAGAGGTGCGTGCTGGCAAGTTGATCAACACATCCGCCCCCACAATGCTCTGCAAGCGACTGCTGATCTGCAATTATTGGCCATTAGATGGGGAAGATTTCAAGGGATAATGGCTTACCTGATCTCCAGTGACACTGGCGTACAGCTCTCCTGATTTGGAAATCACTGAGGCGCGAACAAACTCCGGACGACCATCCAAACTGAAGTCGTTGAGCAACTGCAAGAAAATTAAACATGCAATAAATAGTTTACATGAAAACGAAATCCTTTTTTACGAAGCCATTAAACAAGATTTACGCACTACTTTCAGTGAAAAATAGGAATACAAATCTCGATATGTTACTTTCAAATTATAAATTATTAGCAACGTGTAAACTGTAAAATAAAGACTTACAAATTATCTTCAAGATAAACCAATAAAGATAATTACTAGCTTTAAAGATAAATGCTGTTAATTTGAATAGAGTATACAAACTTCCGTATTACCCAAAGCTTCCTGTAATTTAGGTGACTTAACAAAATATTTCTTATCGCAAAGTAAACAAAACGATAACGCGCCCACTTGAAAGCAAAAGTGTCAGCCAAATAGAGCAAATAGCGTCAAAAGCGACGACCTACAGCAATCCGAGTTCTGGAATCCTCTGATTGATTGCTGCGAGATAGCATCATCAATCACCATAGTTTTTGACCACTCATGATTTCGCAATATGGTAAAATCGACTGGGAACCCACCTTCACATTGACCACGGGCAGGGAGCACTTGGGGCGATCCCAGCCAGCTGCCCAGCGGATGGCGGGCAGGGCGAAGAGGTGGAAGGTGACGAAGGCGGACACGGGGTTCCCGGGCAGGCCGAAGAAGTACTTGTCATTGCGGCTGGCAAAGGTCAAGGGTTTGCTGGGGGCACAAGGTATTAATGTGGTACTTCGGGGACGTCATTTCATCAAGGCAATCTTACCCTGGCTTCATATTGACCCTGCCGCAGTGAAGCTTGAATTGAAGGTCCTCCAGCACGGGCTTCACAAAATCCTTGTCGCCCATAGAGACGCCACCGCTGCAAATGACAAAGTCCACCACCTCGAAAAGATCGGTCAGCGATTCCTTGGTCTGTTTAAAGCTGGAAAATAAAATAAATATACAATAAGGGGTAAAATGATTGGCAAATCGCTCACCTATCGCTCAGCACACTCGTGTGCATGCAGTCAAAGCCAAAGTAGAGAAGCAGTTCCGCCAACATGGTGGTATTAGAGTCGAAGATCTTGCCGGGAACAGGCTGGTCCCGCGGAGAAAGCAGCTCACTGCCAGTGGACACTATGGCCACCCTGGGCTTGGGTATAGCCAACCGCTTGCCCACGGAGGCCAGCAGGGATTTGACTACCACAGGCGAGGGATCTGGAGCAGGGAAAATGCGATCCTTGATGCTCAGATCGAAACCCACTGGCCTGTGAAGAACCAAACGCTTTATTTCGTTTTCCTGGGGTACTCATTAGTACCTACCGCACATCTAATCCAGCTTGTGGCTCGACCTTTATGTTCACCAGGCTCTCCTGGCCGTGCTTGTCGCGCTGCAGCAGCTCCGTGTCCTCCACTTGCACCACACAATCCGCCTCCAGTGGGAGCGGTGCTCCTGTGTTTATTTTGAAGCACTCATCCTCCGCCAGAGGCGAAGAATTGGGCTGAAAAGCAGAAGGAAATTGTTTTAAATTATCCATATAAATTTATCTTAAATATAAGCTCGACTCACTGCATCTCCGGCTGCTATACAACCCAGCACACGCTTGCTGCCCGAGAATCCGGTCGACTTCATGGCGTACCCGTCCTTGATGGAAGCCCTGAAGGGAGGAATGTTCACCGGCGAGTTTAGCTGCCACAAGCTCGTGTCCAGATTGCTGGTCCTCTTTACCGTGTCGAAGATCATGGAGAGCACCTCCTGAACGGGCAGCATGGGAAAGGGTGAATTGCGATCGTAATCGTTTCCCTTCCCCGTTTTGTGGGGGCAAATGTGGCGCTGGGGCGCGGATCCTTGGACCTCCGCATGGGTTTTTCGCACCAGAGATATCTCGTCACCAATGAGATTAAGGGCATGAGGCAGGAGATCCTTGACGGTCTCGAAACACTCGGTAACGGCCTTTTCGCTGCCAGGAAAGTTTAGGATCAGGGTGTTCCCAGCAATCCCAGCAAGTCCACGGGAAAGGGCCGCAAATCGGGTTTTCTTCAGGGATTCCAGGGCAATGACCAGTGCCAGCTGGGGGCACTCCTTGTCCAGCAGCGGTTTCGTGGCCTCAGGAGTCACATCCCGTGGCGCAAAGCCTGTTCCTCCGGTGGTTAGGATCACTCGCAGCTCCCCAAGGTCGATCCACTCGCGCAGTTCCTGCTGAATCAGGTCCTTTTCGTCAGGAACTATGCTCTCTGTCACCTGGGCATTGGCAAAGGACTCGTTGATGAGTGCCCTCAGCCTGGGACCACTTTTGTCCTTCGCCGGATCCTGGTAACAGGTGTCACTAACTAAAGGGCACACAAAAAGGATGAAACACTGGTTTCTGGGGGACCTTGGCACACCTACCGGTCAGAACTCCAAAGATAATCGACTCCATTACGTCATGTGCAGCGGTTTCAACTGCTCCAAGTGACGATCCTCAATTAAATTATTAAATACAATACATAAATTAGCACGCAAACTTTCCGCCGCTGATACTTATATCGATAACTCAGTGAGGAAATTTGGTGTGTGCACACTGATTTCGCCGGTTAAAGCTTTAACCCTACAATGGGCATGTCAATAAATGTGTGATGTATGAATTTAAATATTTTGTTTAAAGCTTGGAACATAGTTTATATTATCTATGTATTTACATTGGATGGGACATTTGTAGTCGAACAAAAATCTAAACGAAAGCAATATCCATTTGTAGTCATATAGCTAGATGGGTTATTTATTTACACTACCCTACAACAGTACAAAAACACGGATGACTGCGGAGGCCACCGGATGCTCTCGGAAATCCTGGATCGGGATCAATTGGCCTGCTTTCCGGCCTTTGTGCGCTCATCCAGAGGATCGTACCCAGTGGCCATCTTCTCCTTGAACTGCTCGTAGGTGCGCTTGCGGTCGAAATGCTTGACCCATTGGCCTGGACAGGATTGCTCGAACAGCTTCCGGAGATTTTGGCAGGCGGAAGGGACTTTTTCGCCGCTGGTAGAGCTGTGCTTTGGGGCGTGCTCGTCCAGGCACTTCCAGTACTCATCCCGGTTGCTCCAGCACTTGGTGCGCTCCGCTTTGTCCGGAAAACTCATCTTCCTGGTGCTTTTGCTGTGATTTCTGGCCGGTTTCCGGTTTCTTGCGTTTGCTCGCTCTGCTTTCAACTGTCACCGCGGTTTTAAATGGGTTGCCTGTTTGGATCCCACTCCTCAACCCTCTGCAACCGCTTAAATATAAAAAAACCACTTAAAATAATTTAGTTTTATAAAATAGCAGCGGAATCCAAAAAAACCAACCTCAAATATTACAAAACAAAAAATCAGCTGTTAATTCGATTTCGATAACTGCATAACATGTGGCAGCACTGGCCAACGATTCATTGGGCGCGCGAATTTGAAAATTACAAATTTTCGTATGCAAAATATAAGTGATAAACATTGTCTTTCAATTCTTTCTAATGAAATTTTGGAAGAGTCTTGATTTTAAATAAATAACACCTTTCCCAGCGATTTTATGCGAAAATCGTAAACCGCCGATGTATCATGTTTTCTGCATACTGATGAAAGTAGTTTGAGTAATCGCACCATTGCTGTTCAGAATTGTTTATTTGATTTAATATCTTATGGCTAAACGTTAACGTAATTGCAAACGAAATGTGCCTCTCCCAAGGAGGTATACTTTCGATTTCCCAAACTAATCAGTAATTTTGGGTGAAACAACTCATGAAATGTCTTTGCAAAAAAAAAAGGAAGCCGAAGCAAACAAAACAAATAAGATAAGACAGCTCTGTCGCTGCCCGCGATAACAATTAAAATTAAAACATACATGTTTTGTGAGTTATGCTATAATTTCTAAGTGTGATCCGGATGCAATAGACCCGGGGACATCGAAACCGTACATACATATTCCATTATAAATCTTTTTTTCTTATCGTAGGTACACAAATACGTATAGAAATGCCAGTTGAAATGTCGCGGGGAGGGGGACGTCTTGTGTCCTTTGACCCTGGACCTTGTTACGAGGGGTGGGGGAGGGATAGTGGGTAGTGGGTGAAAGGGGGGATAACCTACAGCTTAAACTACATATCCTATATTGTCGTTACAAACATTTACAGCTTACACCTAAAGACGCAAAACGCACATCAAAGTTAATAGCCCGATATCCAAGTCTATATAGCACATGGGGGGGATCGTTAGACGCGGGGATATGCTACGAGGATTTTGGATGCTAGTATATATAATATATGATCGGGAACGGAATCGGAGAACTCCACACGTTAAGTAAACCGCAGTCCGTCGTTTCAATTCTCTGTTCGACTATCGAAGGGTCTTGTCCCAAAATGCATTGCAGTTTGTGATCTTGGTCGAGTGATAGCTGGATAGATAGTTCCTGTATATAAACCTTGTTGGTCTGGAGCCAAATCGGGGGGTTTCCTAGTGGGTGTGCGGGCTTGGGGTATTATTCTCTTTGAGGCACTTGTGGCTTGGCTAATTTTTGCTTGGCAAACTGAAAAATTCTTAAACGAATTGTGCTCTCTGGCTGGGATTGGAGGAGCAGGTGGTGACCAGTTGGGGTGTGTGTGTGTGTGTGTGTGTGTAGGGGGCCCTGGCTAAATACAAAACAACTTGAACTTATTTTCTGTTAACGACTATCAGTACTTTACCCTGCACAAAGACATATATGCTCAATATATTATATATGGTTGTATAGACACTGTTTTCTTTAGCTTATCTGGTATTTGTTGATCTACAATCAATGCTTGATATAAAAAAGATTTCTGCTTTATAATTCCTCGTTTTCGTTCGGTTTATTGTTACATTCAGTGCTTTTTAACGAATTATAGTTACTTTAAATAGTGTTAATTCTCTCTAATGAAATTTAAATGTTTAAACACCAGGGCAAACCTGCTTGAACAAAGACAAAATACTTTTACAATTTTACAACCTAATAAAAACTGATTTATTGAACATGCTAATACAACTATAAAACACACTGTAGCTGGACAAACGAGTTCTCCTGCTCTCTTCCTATGTTTAAACCTCTGTCTCCCTCATTCTTATGACTAGATGCACTTTACCGCAGTTATAATTCTCCATTCACCCGATAAACTCTAAGTATAATTTTAAGTTTGAAACACACACACACTTCAAATGTCGGGAGGGAATTGGGATTTGCACATGGCAACACAGTTTGCCCATCTAATTGGTTAGTTTCTAGTATAAAACATAAAAATAATGGGTGAATGCTGTTAGCAATAATTAAAATATTAATGGTAGGGGAATAAAAACAAATGAATAAAAATCAAACAAAATTAATAATAAACAAAAACTAACTGTATACGTAAAATTAGACAAAAATTTGTAAACCATGAAACATTTGGCAGTCGAAGAAGAAGGCCCTCGTCGAGCCCCGATTTCGATTCATCATGCATACTATATATATCCTATATAAATGGCGATCGTTCCTGCTGGTGCTGTGATGTCAGATCTCTGATGTATGTGGCTTGGTTGCTGGTGGCTTGGTGGGGATTCTATTTTGTCGGATGAGACTGGGTTGTCTGGAATCATTTCGAGTTGAGGTCGTGGTGGTGGCCTACGCTTGCTCCGGCTCCCCCGAGGCATTTGTAGATGGCTGCGTGTCCGTTTCCATTTCCGGTTCCGCTGCAGTCGCTGCATCCGTAGGCGAGGCATTTGTGCTTGAGGATTGGGAGGCGTACTTGCAGGAGGCCGTCAGGCAACGACAGCCCACACTAGAGCGGTGCTCCACGCGCCAGAACTTCTCCCCGTAGTCGTAGCTGAAAGGAAACAAATTAGAAAAACATAATTTGGTGTTAACTTTTAAAAAAGATAAGAACACATTACAAAAAGCGGTGTTTTTAATTGGATAGAAAATGTAACTGATAAATACGAATACATTGCATCTATATACAGAATCCTTTACTTCATAACATGATTCAATTCAGGACTTACCAGATCTCTTCGCCGGCGTCGATGTCGCGGCAGGCGAAGAAGGCGATCTTGGGGAATCGGTAGTCTTGGTGCTCGTAGAAAACGCGAACAGGCAAAACATTTGGCTCACACGAGTGGTTGAAGAACCGGGTCACATTGCCATAGTAGTTGGCATCGATGCAGTGCCCGTTGTCCAGGTCAAAGTAGTAGCTGTCATCGGTGCGCCGATCAGCCTCCAGGGCGGTCAGAATCTCACCAGTGTAGCTGGCCACAAAGGTGCCCTTGGGCACATTGGCCAGCGCCCGAACTCCCCATCCTTTCGACTGCTCTTCGCACTCAACAATCTGGAGTGGGGTCCTTGTGCCATTCTGCACCACGCGGTTCTTGCAGGAGAGCTGCGCCAAAAGTTAAATCGATTAGAAGGAGTTGAGCTTGTTCACGAGCCCAAGATTCCATTCCTCACCTGGTTGCAGCCACAGACATCGTTGCACTCGAAGATCACTGCCGGATCATCGTAGTTGAAGTCAGCGGTAAGGCGGCTTTCAGCGGTGTACCAATTCTGCGAGGAGGCTCCGTTGCACTGACACCGATCGCTACTGCAACTATCCAGGCAGGAACAGATGCGCATCTGCGAGACGCGGCGGTCGATCTGCACCGAATTCTGCTGGATGATGCACTGGGTCACGTAGCGAAAGTCAGGCCACATAAGCGAATCGGCCTCATCCTCACTTTCGGACATGGCCAGCTCATTGCGCACCGCCTGGATGGGTCGTGCCTCCCGGCCATTGGAGGCATCCGCACAGACCACAAGGGTGCGGAGGCCCAGCGGCCGGAAGCTGCGCATCTGCATGTTGAAGCCCACGGTGCGACCGCACTCGGACTCCTCGTTCGGGATGCAATCGAAGGGCAGCTGCTCCGCCTTGTTCTTGATCATCAGATCAGCTCCATTGGCAATCAGAGCGATGCACATCCGTGTGACTTCGTGACGGCAGGCAATGTGTCTGGGGAATTAGGGGATTCTTACTTCTGACATGTTGGAGCGTGGCTGGGTGAACCAATACTCACAGTGGGGTGTCACCCTCCACATTCTGCACATTGCAGTCCGCTCCCGCCTGCAGCAGCACCGTGATCGTGTCCAGTCCATCGTTGTGCAGCGTCGACCAGTGCAGCACTGTGTTGTTGTCGTTGTCGCAGATGTTCGGATCGGCTTCCTGGTTGAGCAGGAGGCTAAGGATGGCCGGAATATTAATCAACTTCAAGGATTTCCCCCAAGATGAACCCACCTAACGATATCAGTGTGTCCCAGCTCAGCTGCCCAGACCATGGCCGTCCAACCGCCCTCATCCTGGGCATCGATGAAGTTCAGAAAGCTGGTGATATTCCGCGAGGCCCTATAGCTCTCCACAATTAACTGCGTGGCCTCCACGTTGCCCAACTTAGCTGCAATATGCAGACAGGTCTTGCCGTCGGGTCCCTGGTGAGAATACACAGTTAAGAACGAATTTAGATCCTATGGAGCGGGCAAGAATAACCACCTTAATGGCCACATCGGCTCCACACTGCAAGAAGAGATTGAGCATGTCGCACTTCTCGTTCATTACTGCACACATCAATGCCGTCCGCAGTTCGCTGTCCATAATGTTGACGAAGTCCTGTGAACTGGCTCCCTTACAGAGCAGCAGGTAGGCCATCTGGAGAGTGCCCTGGTGGGCCACCAGATGCAGGCAGGTGCCATTAAGGTACTCCCGGATGGGGGTCAGCACATTGAAGTCGGCAGCTAGTCAAATAAACCATAAGTAAGGATACAGATATGAGACCAACAAACTCACCCAGAATCTCTGCCACGCGCTCCAAATCATCGTTCTGCACCGCGTAGAACATGTCCCGCGACGTAAACTCCGTGGTCACGCGTCCACTGGCCGAAACCACATGGCCCCGCAGCACCACATTCATCACGGAGTCCGGTATCAACTGCGCAAAGTTTATCGTGTTAAGAGCCTGGCCGGAGTTCGAATTGCAGCTGCCCCCCTTGCCCCTTTGGGTTCCATTTGTCTTTGAGGCGGAGGAGGAAGGCGCCGCGCCCGAGGCGACGGCGGAGGAGGACCCCCCCTTGCTTTTCGCCTTGGCTCCTGGGCTGCTGGTTTTCCCAGCCGATCCAAATTGGGCCAGATGCGAGGAGGTGGTCAATTTGGCGGGTTTGCTGCGTGGGTGGTAAACGAAATTAGTTGCTGGTCTACAGTATTGTAGGTAAAATAATTTTGATTTAAGAAAATTGTTTCAAAAAGCCATAACCCCCGCTAGATTCCACTCACATCTTGTACTTCTGGGTGGGCAGAAAGACGGGCAGCGACTGACACTTCATGGTCACCGTGGAGGTGCGCTCGGGTGTGTCCAAGCCGCAGTGCGGGCACTTGAGCACCAGCATGGGACTGCTGAACTTGACTCCCTGATCCTCCCGACCGCCACGGCCTTCCTCGTAGGGAGTGTTCAGGATGAAACGCTCGGCGCAGTCCGGGTGAAAGAAGTGCTGCTGCTTGCACAGCACAAATTTACCCTGTAATTGAGCGATATTACAATCAGTAATCCTATGTGATTGCTTGAGTTTAGCTATCCTTACCTGAGTGCAAAAGATGCCACATCCTGCACAGCAGTTGTGGGACTGCAAGCGCTTCTTGTGCTCGTCGCAGAGGATCATGTAGCTCACCCTTTGGCTGGGCCTCAGAAGATTGTGCACCTCCGAGGAGAGCTCGTTGCAGCAGCCAATCTTCTGCTCGTCAATGTGATCGATGGCACAGCAGTAGGAGGAATCCGGCGCATTCCTCGCATAGTACTGCGAACTTTTCTGGCACAGACAAATAAACTTGGACATTTTCGAGGTGCTAGGCTTGGCATCCAAGTCTCTGGTGGGCGCAACTTCCGCTAGGATCGAGGTGTTCAGCGAGTGCAGTTGTTCCGCATCGAGAGTGAAAATGGATTGACCTGCTCCGGCTGCCACAGCTCCTCCTCCCGCTCCTGCTCCCCTTACAGCCACTCGTCGCGTGAGTTTAACTGGCTGCACAACTGCGTTCCGAGATGATTTCTGCTGAGCAGCGGCCGATGTTGTGGGCAACTCCTTGGTAACCGTGTTCCTCACCCGCAGGGTAACACTGGGTTTCCCCACCTGCACTCTGGTGGTGGGCACAAATTCATTGTCCGTATTGGAACTGTCGTTATCGGAGGCCTCCTCGCTGTGATTCCTCTGCAGACCCAGATGCTTGAGGTGCTTCTCCTTCTGCTTGGCCAGTTTGCGCTGCTGTTTCTTGTTCAGTTTCCGCTCCTCGGGCGAGCGATTCGCATTGATTCGCGATGCCTTGATGTCGCTGAGGAACTGCTCCACATCCGGACACGGACGCACCTTGCTCTTGGCCAGCATAGCCGCGCCGTAGTTGTCAATGTCGCGCTGAGACTTGCTGAAAAGTCGCTTCTTGATGGCGCTCGTGCCAGCGGGATGGCCTGGAACTCCTTCGAAATTGCTGCCGTCGGACTTGTCACTCTTTTGTCGCGACGTTGAGGAATTGGAGCCACCTCCAGTTTGGGGTGTCTCGAAATCGCCATCTGCCCCGGCGGCTGCTGCAGTTTCCCAGTGGGTCATCCGCTCAATGTGCTTCGTTTCGAACTCACAGCGCAGTTCATCGTTTTCGAGGATTTTGGGCGTGGGTTTGATTCTCCTTTTCGAACGCTTGGGCAGCTGCACTTCGGATCCACCAGTGGGAGTGGTTTTCTTGTTGCCATTGGTTAGAGGAGGGAGCGCGGAGGAGGAGGTTCCCGGTTCTATTTTTGCCCCAAGCGGAATCTTGGCCTTGCGACCTCGCTTTTTGGGTGGCGTTTTCTCATCGAGGACAGCAGATGGTACGGGCACCGGGGTGACCTCCATGAAGGAGAGCTCCGCTGGCGGCAGGTGAGCGAGGGGCTCGGTCTTCACATCCTCCCAGGCGCTTCCATCGGCGGGCAATCGATTGCCCAGACGAACACTGCGACGCATCCTCTTGCCATCGCCCGCGGGAGCATCTCCCAACTCCTCCTGCTCGGTTTTCACCACCACCAAGTCGCCTTGTTGCTGGTCCAACTGCTCCTCCGGGTGCTTCCTCTTGCGTCCCGGCTTCTTCTCCACCACCGAATCATCGGCCAGGGGCAGAACTTCACTGGTGGTGTCCACCTCGGCATCTGGTCGTATTTTCTTGGCACGGCCTCTTCCTCGCTTGGGAGCAGGTGCTGGGTTTTCCTCGGGCGATGAAGTGGTCGTTGGTGGCGTCTTCTCCGGCTCCTTCTTCACCTCAGGACGATCTGCTGCCGCAATCTCCTCAAGCGTTGGCACCTCCAGACGACGACTGACCTCCACTGGCAGCTCTGCCGACTCGGGTTCCGTAATCTCCACCTGCACAGGTTCATCGGTGGTTGGTGTTGGTGTGGGCGTGGCAGTGGGCGTTGGCGTATCTGTGGGTCGCGGCGTCCTCCGCGAACGACGCGTTCCGCCTGGTGAAACCTGTTCCTGCAAAATACAGACACTCATTCAATGTGTGCGGACTCAACAAATCCCAAATATATATCTGTGTATATTCCAGAAGGACCAGCCCTGATGGAATGCTTCGAATGGCTTCGTCGGTTGCCAAGGCAACTGGTTCTACCAAACACAGTAGACCAGCTGGCCAGAAGGATGGATGTTTGGATGGTTTAACCCCTTTGTTTTGGATGCAATTACTCAAAGTTTAATGTAAAAGGAAATATGTATTCAAATGCCATTTGAGTTACGCAAAAGAATACATTTGTTTACGTTTCTCATCCTGTTTATCTTTTGAGGGAGTTAAAATGTCACCAAGGCAGAAATATAAATAATTTTAACCGAAAAAAGCTGTCCTTGCAAAATTATGATATATATGTTTTTAGACTGCTTAAATATCAGATAACTCGATTAATCAATAAGTCGAACCAGTATTATCCGCACTTGAATGGGAATTGGGGTAGAATTTTAATGAACAAAATTCCACAAAAAGTGGTTTTATAGTGAAAGTTCGACAATAAGAAAATCAACTTTTCTTACTCCTCTTAAACTAATTGATTTATGCCAATATTACCCCTTTATATATTAAGAATTATGCAATTTACTTTATTAATTATTAAGTATCGATTTTGTCTATTTTTTTTATCAAAAGACAAGTTTACGTCAATTAACATACATATGTATTTGTTTTTGTTAGTTTAGGAATTCTTAGGTAAAACGAAATTTGAGGAAACTAAGTAAATCATAAATTAACTTTATCCAAACACACACACAATTGAAGCGACCGAGGCTCAAATTATTTAATTGTATTTATTAATTCAATATATATATGCAAATTTACTTAATTTATAAATAAGTGCCGCTAGTTACCATACTTTATTTTGTCTTTTAGTTCTTTCCCCATTTCATATTTTATTTGTTTCAAAAAGTTGGAACTTATTGTTAAATAATAAATAAAGTATAAAATGATAGATAAGGAAGTTATCTAAAACAATTGATTTGAATAAAAAAAGATTTTTCTCTCAATAAACTTTATGATCTTTAACTCCTCCCTTTTATTTAGGCAGTGATAAGTATAAGCTTTCTTTCTTTGAATAATAAGTTATAGTAAGATAGATAAGAAAGTATTTTTAAGAGCCAAAACTCATGTACGCAGTGTAGCTCTTTTTCCCATTTTGTAATAAAGCAAATAATACAATATTTTATAATTTGTACGACTATTATAAAGACTTTCCCTGTACTACTCAAACAAGTTATGAGTACAACAACTCGTTATCTGGTGCCAGAAATTGATTAGGAATTAAAAGTGAGTCAAAGTCGTAAGTTTAAAAGGTATTGAAATAAGTTTGGAGTTTCAAGAGGTGCATGGTAACTTTGGCGTAAATATTTTGTATAAATTAAGGCAAAAATGCAAAGCTTAAAAGCTCACCATAGTTTTATTTTTTTTACTCAATACCGAAGCTTTCCCTAGGCGGTGATAAAAATTAACAATGGCATGGCACAGAAAACGTGTCTTCAATAAAGGATAGATAACACAAAACTGGAGACTAGTGTAGAGGGGAAACCCCTGTAACCCTTATTACACTTAAAACTTCTTCCTTTGCATCTTATCGTTGACCATTTAAAAATAATACTGGATTTAAAACTATGTATGAATAATTTGAAAAAAACTAAATATGAAAGTTTTTTGTGTAACATAAATATTTCATTGCCTTTAAAATTTAAAATGAAAAATAGTTTTTGTCCAAAAAAATTTTGAATAGAACGAATTTTTTTTTAGCAATTCTTAAATGGTTTGATATTTTATCTAGGGATAAGACTTCTAAATTAAACCTTTAAAATAATTATAAATTTCGAAGCTCACATACATACAAACATACATATGTACTTACATTTTTATCAGCTGCTGTCGCTGCCACTTGCTCTGTCGGCGTCGCTGCCCGCTGCTGGCTGTCCACATACGAATTTGAATTTGTTGCGTCAGCAGCGACGTCGATGTCGGCAGAATTGACAACAAGTGGAGATGCTGTTGCCGTTTCCAGTGTTGTTGTTGTTCCTTTTGTTGTTGTGGTTAATTCTGCATTTGCTTCCTGTTTTCCAGCTGCTGTTGTTGTTGTTTCTTCAGCTTCCTGCGCTGCTTCTTTTTTTTGCTGCTCAGTCTTGATGTTTTCCCTCTGCCCGTCCGCTGTCGACGCCGACGTCGCTTCTGCTGCTTCTGCTACTGCACTTTTCTCTGTCTGCTCGCTGCTTTCCAGCTTTACCGTTATGGCTTGCACTGCTTGCCCTTCTACCTCCTGTTCACCTTCTTCTTCCAATGCTTTCAGCTCTTCTTCTTCTGGCGGCTCCGTTTGCTCCTTGGCCTTATGTTCTGTGTTTTCATTTACATTTGCCGCATTTTCTTCTTGTTTTTCTGCATTTTCATTAGCTTTTTCTGCAGCTGCCTCTTCTTCCAGTTTCACAGCGGCCGCATCCACAACATCCGCCAAGAGTCCCTTAATTTCCTCTATTTCGGCTAAATTCGTGGCCTCCTTTCTATCCTTCTCCTCCTCTTTACCATCCTTGTGCTTTTTGTCCTTGCAGGCAAACTGATTGTTGGCCAAATTGCGCCATTTTAGGGTTTTATCCTCCGCCAAATCCAAATTTAGAAGTGTACCGCCCTCCGCAGTAGATGTAGCGCAATCGCTATTAAAAGTACTGGACATACTATTTAATAGCTCCACAAAGTCCGTCATTTTCACTGCTTTTTACTTTTTTTTCACTGTTTTTCAGTATGCTTTTTGTTTTTTTGGGAATCAATATTCCATGGTTAAACCAAAAAAAAAAGACGTTTGGGCTCTGGAATATAATATTTTAAGCGATAAGATTGCTGTTATAGTGGTTTTGCTTCTCGGTTTTTAAACTATTTTAATTAGTTTGTTTATGTGGAATTTAAAAAACAAAACTGAAGAATATTAAAAATTGAGTTCCAATCTGTTCTTTTTCTTTCCACTTCTGCCGGCAGCGACGTCGACGTCAACTGCGCTGCTTGTTGGTGGCCACAAGTTAACTGTTTTTTTCTTCTCTCCCTTTTTTGTTTCTTGTTGGAGAAAAAAAAACACGCGACGTCACTTAAATAAATCATTAACTAAATTATTAATCGTTTCGTCGAACTTCTCGCGGATTTTCTTCGTTTTTTTGGTTGGCCTTAAGAAGCAGAAAATGTTTGTAGAAATCGCTGATTAGCTCACATGTCGAATATATTTCCCTCTCTCTCTCTTTCTCTCTCTCTGCACCACCTAGGTTGTTGTTGTTGTTGCTCTGTCGACGTCGCTGCCGCTGCGTTTTTGGTGCTGCTTTTGCTGCAGTCACTTTTGAGATTTTGGAATGGGAATTTTGTAAGCTGAAATATTCTCAAGCCCAATTCCCGATTGCTTTTCACTTTCTTTGGGTTCTATTGAACCCAGTTCACAGAGAATTATTATTAAAAAAAATATAAAGAAAAGCACACGCACACACATACACATGCGATGGGGACGCACGCACGCACACATACACCGCACCGCGCTGAAAACTGTTATCCGCAGAAAACAACAATAGCATCAGTGTTACCAGATGGTAAAACTGCATTCCGCCAAATGCTCTCGACCAAGACATGAATTTTCACTAAAAAATCCCCCAAAATTAAAACGCGCGCTTAATATTTAAATTTTTTAAAGTAGTAAATTGGCGTGAGCATAGTCACAATGAGAAAAACATTGGGCCGAAATTCTTTAGTATCATTTCTCGATTTACTATGAGGTGGCCAAATATCAATATTTTAAAATTTCTCCAATCAGACAATAAGTATTTTATGTGTCCTACATAGATTTAAATATTTAAAAATATACCGGAGCCTAACATATAACGGTAGATATATTCCAATATATTTAAGTGAAAATACTGTTCCACGGTTTTATGTTGGCGGCGCCCCAGATCAATGATATTCGCGATCTGGCAGCTTTCCATTCGATAGTATTGAATAAATTGTTCCAGCTCTAGAAAATAATTGCTAAAAAAAACAATTGCTCTTTGTTATTGTTATAATTACAACAATACAGCTAAAAAACACACGCTTGCCATACACATAAACACAAACACACACGCAGGCAAAAGCGAGGGGAATCCCACGTAGAATGTGAGAAAGATGCGCATGCGCGGACGAAGATTGCTGCCGATTATCCTGTCGCTACTTTTGATCGTCCTGCTGAGTCTCTGTTACTTTTCCGGACATTTACGGGATCTGAAGGAGCTGAGGAACTCCCCCGACGAAGAGTTCCTGCTGCACTTGCCGCCCGAAACGGAGGAGGATTCCCCTAATCCCCATCCGCAAGCAGCCAATCCTCTCCTGAATCTCACCGACTTCCAGTATCTCCTCCACAGCAATGTGTGTCGAAAGGCGGAAAGGGAACTCCTGGGTAAGTTGGTCATCTTAATATCACTTTGAAAACCCATTTAAGTCCATTTTACCACTCGGCAATGTCCCAGAAATCACTAGAGACTTAAATTCTCTTTAATACGTATCGGACTTCCTGGTTCAAATCCTCTCATGCTTTTAGTTTCTGTGCTTTCTGGTGACGAGAATAAGTAAAGAATTGTTTTTAACCCTTTTTCCTTCTACCCCCTAGCCATTCTGATTGTCACCTCCTATTCAGGGCACGATGCCCTGCGAGCTGCCCACCGCCAGGCGATTCCCCGGAGCAAATTGGCCGAGATGGGCCTGCAGAGGGTCTTCCTGCTGGCCGCCTTGCCTCCCCGAGAGCACTTCATTAACCAGGAGCAGCTGGCCAGCGAACAGAAGCGTTTCGGGGATCTGCTCCAGGGGAACTTCATCGAGGACTATCGCAATCTGAGCTACAAACATGTCATGGGACTGAAGTGGGCCTCCCAGGAATGCAAGAACCAGGCCAAGTTCATCATCAAACTGGACGACGACATCATCTACGATGTGTTCCATCTGCGGAGGTATCTGGAAGCCCTCGAGGTGGGCCAACCTGGTCTGGCCACCTCCAGCACTCTGCTTTCCGGCTATGTACTGGATTCCAAGCCACCCATTCGTCTGAGGGCCAACAAGTGGTACGTCAGCAAGCAGGAGTACCCGCATGCCCTGTATCCCGCCTATCTGTCCGGCTGGCTGTATGTGACCAACGTGCCCACGGCCAAAAGGATTGTGGCGGAGGCGGAGAGGGTGCCGCTGTTCTGGATCGACGACACCTGGCTGACGGGCGTGGTGAGGACCCGTTTGGGCATTCCGCTCGAGCGGCACAACGATTGGTTCTCCGCCAATGCGGAATTCATCGACTGCTGTGTGCGGGATCTCAAGCAGCATGGCTACGAGTGCGAGTACTCCGTGGGACCGAATGGCGGCGATGACAGGCTGCTGGTGGAGTTCCTGCACAACGTGGAGAAGTGCTACTTCGATGAGTGTGTCAAACGGCCGGCGGGCAAGTCGCTCAAGGAGACCTGTGTGGCGGCGGCCAAGTCGAGAGCTCCGGAACATGGCTTGGCTGAAATAAAACCACTGCGGCTGAGGTGACCTCGGTTCCTGGACACTCTGGCCCACCTCCAAGGACTTCCAAGTGCAAGAGGGCGAGAGAGATATCCTGCTAAAGGGATATCATACCATGCCACTAATCTTAGTTCGTAACTTAGTTTAGGTTTTGCAATCGGGGGTGACCCAGAAATCTCTTTCAAACGAATTCTTAGTTTCAGCAAATTCACTTTGAAACACAACAAAAATACAAATTTACCGTCCAGAAAATCGTCTGAGATATCTGGGTGTCTCCTGTATAAGATGTCCCAATTAGGTTGAGATTGCTTCACTGAGAAATGCAGGAACTTGAAGATTTTGTTATATTCAATTATCAGACTACACATAATTGACCTATTCATAATTGGCTACTTTGTGCTTTTTATAGTACACCATGACAAGAACAAGTTCCTGCAGAAATCTATGGTAATAAGTTGTAACCCCTCTGAATTCAACAACACAATTGTAAGACTTCAAAAACTGATTAGGATTTAATCTTTTATACAAATCTTAAAGTGTAAAATATAGTAAATCAAAAGTGAACAATAACTGATCATTAATCGGTGTGTGCTGATGAATTCAGATGTAGTATAAGTACCTTTGTATCATTAACTTGTTCAATTCTAACAAAACAGACTCCGTCCTTCTCAGTAAATTAGATTTAAGTATTGTCTAGCGATGAATTATGAATAAAAAACTGCATTTATACAATACAATACAAATAAATAAGTATCTAACAGTACACAGTACATTCCCTTCTGCATCATCATTTAGAAGAATGCCACTTTGAAATCGGATGTCTGTAAAAGAGTGACTCAAAATTGGACTTCCAGAGCTCATAACTTTACCAAATTTAATCCGATTTCAAAGTGACATACCTCCTGAGACTTGTGGTTAGATTCTCTAAAAATCTGCATTCAAAATTTTCATTTTAACGTTAGTCAAATTTTTGACCCATTTTCATGTTAGTTATTTCTAATTTTCCGATGTGTTGTAATACAGTGACTCAAAATTGGACTTCTAGAGCTCATAACTTTACCAAATTTAATCCGATTTCAAAGTGACATACCTCCTGAGACTTGTGGTTAGATTCTCTAAAAATCTGCATTCAAAATTTTCATTTTAACGTTAGTCAAATTTTTGACCCATTTTCATGTTAGTTATTTCTAATTTTCCGATGTGTTGTAATACAGTGACTCAAAATTGGACTTCCAGAGCTCATAACTTTACCAAATTTAATCCGATTTCATATCTCTATCATATCTCTAAAGACTTGTGATTCGATTCTCTAAAAATCTGCATTCAAAATTTTCATTTTAACGTTAGTCAAATTTTTGACCCATTTTCATGTTAGTTATTTCTAATTTTCCGATGTGTTGTAATACAGTGACTCAAAATTGGACTTCCAGAGCTCACAACTTTACCAAATTTAATCCGATTTTAAAGTGGCATATCTCTAAAGACTTGTGATTCGATTCTCTAAAAATCTGCATTCAAAATTTTCATTTTAACGTTAGTCAAATTTTTGACCCATTTTCATGTTAGTTATTTCTAATTTTCCGATGTGTTGTAATACAGTGACTCAAAATTGGACTTGTAGATTCCATAACTTTACCAAATTTAATCCGATTCCAAAGTGGCATATCTCTAAAGACTTGTGATTCGATTCTCTAAAAATCTGCATTCAAAATTTTCATTTTAACGTTAGTCAAATTTTTGACCCATTTTCATGTTAGTTATTTCTAATTTTCCGATGTGTTGTAATACAGTGACTCAAAATTGGACTTCCAGAGCTCATAACTTTACCAAATTTAATCCGATTTCAAAGTGGCATATCTCTAAAGACTTGTGATTCGATTCTCTAAAAATCTGCATTCAAAATTTTCATTTTAACGTTTGTCAAATTTTTGACCCATGTAACCATCGTGGAAATTGGCGATTTTTTGAATGGACAAAAGGTTCCAGGTGCGATTGCCAATCGATAGAGAATCCTGCTACGAGTTCAACAAGGTATGGCATTCCATGTTTTGGCCACGTTATCCTTTCGTTTTAAGTACTACAAGTGCGTCTGTGACTGCTGAGAAAAGTATGCTACACTTTGGCAGGTATCATAAATGTGGAGAAGCACAAGAGTAGGATGTAAATTACATTAAACCAATCCTTCAAACTGAGCAGGAGGTTCATGGCTAAAAAGGTAAACGCCTTTAGTTTGTCATTATCGTTTCTTTATTATCATAAATAAATTTAAATTAAATAAATGCAATACAATTAAGCATAATTCCATTGAAAATGAAACTACTTTTCTTGTCTCTGCTTCTTCGATCAGTTATCCCCTTAGTTCCGTTTTGATTGCTTTTGTTTGCTGTTTATTGCGTTCCGTTTACAATTAAATAAATGTGAGTGCTTGTGGGTGTATGTGAATGAGTGAGGAAACGGGTGAGTGTGTAAGTGAGTGAGTGTGTGTGTGTGTGATTGAGTGCGAGTGTATGCGGCTGCAGTCTCTATAGAAGTTACAAAAGGGATCATGATGCATCGTCCTATCTCTCTTTTTCTCCCACTCTTCTGGCCCTCTTTCGCGCTCTCTCTCTCTTTTTCTGTCTCTAATTTTCTGGCAAGGACGATGTTTCATTTCCATTGTTCCCTTTCGTAACTTTATAGAAAGTACGCGCTCGCATCTTTTTCTTTCTTTTCTCTTTTTTTGTTTCTTTTCTCTTACTAATTCGCATACGTGAAATGTGCTCGTGTGTGTGTATGTGGCTACTAGGAAATGTTTTTGTTTCTTTTTCTCTCAAGGGAATTTGTATCTCACGCTCTAAGTCTAAATAAATATAAATAAATAAATTGTATATTAAGTAATTAATTTATATATATATCATTAAAAAAAAAAAACAAAAAATTATACGGTTGTCAGTGGTGTGTATGAGTGTGAGTGGGAGTGGGAGGGGCTATATTGCCTGGGCAAGAGCGAGACAAAGATATAGAGTTAGAGTGTGTGTGTGTTTGTGTGTGAGAGAGAGAGCATATGTAAGAGTGACAATTTTGTTTTGTATTTTCTTTTTGTTTTCTTTTCTTTCTTGTTTTTTTTCTTTCGTTCTACAGCTTCTTCTTGTTCTTCCTGTTTTAGATTCCCCTCGTTTCGGACCTATGCCACGATCTTGTGGGGCTGCATCCACTTCTTCATGTAGTAGCAGAACAAGGTCGAGATGTAGAGCAGGATCATCAGCGCACAGGTGACCGCGAGGGCCAGCACTGATGTCTTCGTTGGGCAGGGCTCGATGATGGTGACAGTTTTGTCTGCGGAACGAAACGGAATGGAACGGAAGTTGACAAACTAATTGGGTTTTTTCATTATATCCACACTCACCTTTGGCAAAGTCAGTGCTGGGATCTGCCTTGAAGAACTCACGCTTCTCATCGCCAAAGTCCAGGACCAGGATCTCCTGAGAGATGTTCATATCGTCCTCGCTCTTGGTCTCATTGCTGGAACAATAGGAAATTAAGCAACAAATTATATTTTACCATTTGCATTAAACAAAAAATGAAATTGAATTGCATTAATATACAATTCTTAAAACATTAGATCAAAGGTGCTCAGTCTTGTAGCTTGTGCATGTTGCACAGTTTTAAAGATCTTTCCATAAAGAATACATTGGAGAACCTTGTTTCAGATCTAACCAAGCCCCAAGATCTAACTCACCTCTCGATGGAACGGCGACGCCTCCTGCCCAGGGACTCGAATGACTCCATGTTCCATTCGCACACGGCCGGTTCACAGGGACCCAAGCAGTACTTGACATTGCACTGGAAGATAACACCATAGCTCTCCGTGAATCGGAAAGCCTCGTATGTGGACTGCAGAGCATTTCCATCGGCGGTGAAGCCGGGGAAGATGGTGGGATCGGTGGGGCAGCCGTCGTCGTCGATGATCTTGAAGCTGGTGCGAGCGTCCTTGGCCATGGCCACGCAAGACCGAGCGAAGATGCCGTAGGGAGCTGTAAGTACATCCATCAATAAATAGAGGAGCTCTTTTAAAATCCACTGCACTCCAAACTCACTGTCTTCGGGGATCTCGATGCGGAAGTTGAGGCGGTCTCCAATGCGCACAGTCTCCACCTCGCGCTGTCGTGTGTCCAGGATGCGAATCCTTGGTGGTGGAGCCTCGGGCGACGAATTGATGTGGATCATCTCCGGGTCGCGGATGGGCATCATGCCGAAGGTGATGTTCTTGGAGCTCATGTCGTACGTGCACTTCACCTTGTAAATCTTGTCGGCCTTCGTCATAACCACGCTGTGATGCTGCAAAACCACTGTGTTGGAGTAGACGCCCGTCTGGAAATCAAGAAAACGTAATTAGTAGGGTCCTCTATGTAGTTCGGTTTTTCATCTGTTTTGGACGGATTCTTTTGGATTTCCGTACACTTACCACGCTCTGAGTGTTACAATCCTGTCCAGCCATGGTCAGATCCAAACGGAAAGCATCCGAGTTGATCACATCGATGTTACAGGTCTCCGAGCGTCCCAAGGCGTAGATACGTCCATTGAAGGGCTTGTTGGTGCGCACCTGAACGGCAATTCTGGTGTCCTTGCAGTGCACGGAAACTGGGAAGGATATACAACGATTACATAAAGATCTCTTTTTAGATTTAGACAAGACTTACCGTCATAGCAAGTTCCGGTCTTATCGCAGTTAACATCGTTGCGCGTCAAGTTGGTCAGGTTGGGATCCTCAATGGTGTCCAGGCTAACGGGCAGAGTATCGATCTTGTCCAGAGTTCCCGGCGGAGAACCAGCTCCCGATCCGGCGGCCTTCTCGCACTGGTTCTCAAAGTACTGACCAATGGGCTCACCGTGATCGATCAGGGGGCGCTCGTGGTTCAAATAGGTGGATGGACCATCGGGCAGGGTCTTGTGATCCAGATGATACAGTCGGCAGTTGTACTGGGCTCCCTGGGGTTGGCCCAAATACAGGAAGGAGCGGCAGAGGAACTCGGATTCGATCTCACAGGCCAAACGGCAGGCGGACTCGGAGGTCACCTGGAGTTCCTTGTCGGTATAGTAGTGCAGACCCACATATTGGGCCACCTTCTCCTCGGAGACACCCATCTTTTGGGCATTGCCAAACGAGCGAGTGTTCTTGCAGGCCTGAGCGGGTTTCAAGCAGAGATTCTCAAAGTAATCCGTACCCTGGGCGTCCACCAACTGCACAAACTGTCCGGAGCTGCGTCTATCCGAATCACTGAGCACACACTTCATGTTGTTGTAGTCATACTCCACCGATCGGCAGACGAAACGCCTTTCGTTGAGACAAGCGGACAGGCAGGCCTCCTTGGTGCTGGTGTAGATCAGGGCGTTGTCTAGGCCACGGATCACCTTGTTGGGAACCCTCTCAAAACTCCACGGACGATGGCAGACATTCTCGCTGCGCAGCTGCAACTTAACCATGTAGTACATGTTGGCGCTCCTCTGCGGGGCTGCCGAAGGATTGGCCGCCGAGGAGTCGTTTTGCAGCTGACAATGGGTCTCCTGCGAGGGCGACAGAGGATTCACCACGAAACTGAAGGCCGCCGCCTGACAGTCCGCCTCCTCGCGACACCATCCCTGGCACTCGTACAGCGACAGGTTCTTCACGCTGTAGTACGTGTTGCCCGGGAAATCGAAGTCCGTCAGCTTCTCGAAGGCCATCCGGGCATCGATTTGTCCCGGCAAGGACACCAGCAGGACCAACACGGCGGAGAGGAGCAGCGGACCC